TGGGGGGGGGGGGGGGGGGGGGCATCTACTCCTCTTGCAACAAGCCAGAAGTAAAAGCCTGAGGAAAAATGACCTGCCTTTAAGCCCTGGCCCCTCCCTTGGGGCCTCCTCAGCCTACCCTGCCCAGGTCTGAGGCTACTCTGAATCTCCCTCCTAGTTCACTGGTAGATTCCCAGTCTTTTCCAGGCCTGTCCCTAGCTCTCCACATTTTCCAGAAAAATCTAGACAGGCCCTTTTTGAGTACCTAAAACCCAGCTGAGGTTACAAGCTGGAAGGTTAAAGCAAATTCTGTTCCTTTAGAAGCTCTGGTGATGTGTGAGGTCTTGAGCCCAAGAGACCCTCACTCTCCTTGGCCTGAACTGTAGGGGGGAAGGGTGGGTGGGACTTATTGCTGAATTGGGGTCTCCTCATTAGGAGAGTTCAAAGCTGTGTCCCACTTGTCCTTTATTCTAGACCCATTACCCTAAAGACCTCAGCTTTAAAGGGGACCTGGAAGGAATTACTGCTGAGGTAGCTAAGTATAATGTGTATTCATGTCCCCTAACCCAGACACAGGTTCAGTTGCATCATGGCTTTGGCCCTTTCCCTATCCTAGCTTCCCTACCATGAGTTGGAGATCCTTCCAAAATTCCTCTGCCCTTCCCCAGAAGGGGACCCCAGCTAGATTGAAGGAGCTAGAAACTGCATGTAAAAATAAAGTTAACATTCTCTACAGAAGAATAAGATTTTTAGAAAATTGGCCGGGCTCGGTGGCTCAGCCTGTAATCCTGTGCTTTGGGAGGCCGAGGTGAGTGAATTGCCTGAGCTTGCAGGTTCGAGACCTGCCCGGACAACTTGGCGAGACCGCATCTCTACAATAAATCAAAAAAATTAGCCAGGCGTGGTACTGCGTGCCTGTAGTTCCAGCTACTTGGAAGGCTGAGGTGGAAGGATCGCCAGAGCCCAGCAGGTCGAGGCTGCGGTGGCCAGAAGTGGCCACTGCACTCCAATCTGGGCGACTGAGTGAGACTCCAACTCAAAAAAAAAAAAAAAAAAAAAGATTTTTAGAAAATTAACTAGGAAAAACAAGAAGTGATTCTTGATTCATCCAGAACTTAGTTTTTATGAATCATAGCTGGATCCTTTCCAGAGCTCATCCTTAATAGGTATCACTAGAGAAGGTGGGAGGGTAGGTCTAGAACTTATTTAAAGCAATAATATGGCTATATAGGCCCCACTTCCATCCTGGGGAAAATGGCTTAGAGCTGTGGTCTATGTCCTAGAGCTGGGATTCAGAAGGAAGTATGGCTCCAAAAATGTCTAGAACACCATGCTCTAGAATTGGGTGTCTCTGGGATAAGAAGTGGTGATCTGAAACTGGTCCCAGTTTGGGGCAAGGCCAACATCTAGAAAATGCTCAAATCTGGCCTCTTTCTACTTGGAAGCCAGAGGTCCATCTGGGTCAAGGATAGAAGCCTGATGGATCCAGAACAGAACCTGGCAGCATGCCTCGGTTCCAGCACAGAGCCCTAGTGCAGAAGTGGCCTTAGCCAGGGTGTCTGGTGTTCCAGAATCTGTCCAGACCAAGGTAGAAGTTAGAGTAGGGAAAGAGGGAAGCTATTCCTGAGCTCCAGTGGACCTATAAATCTATGGCTCAGTGGCAATGAAAGGGGCACAGAACTCCAGGAACTAGCTGAGCCAGGGGTGGGGAGTGTTTATGTCCTGGCTCTATCAGCTTGGGAACTCCCAGTGCCATCTCAGGAAAAGGCTTTGAAGGTACGTGAGTGTGGAAAGAAAGAAATGACCAACAAGGACCATTTTCAGACATCCTCCTCTCTGACCACCTCCCAGGCCCAAGGATCTAAGGGTCTCAGCAGCCCTGAAAGTCACAGCCAGCCCCTAGGCTCCCTCAGAGTAGAGCACCTGGGGGGAGCTGGCTGCTCAGGGCATGTGTGTGGCAGCAGGGGTGGCAGCAGGACTGGGAGACAGGCTGTGGCGGTGGCTGGCTCACTGGGAATGCAGGAAGCCTCCAGTCCAAGGACTACATCTCAGGGGGACTGCAAGGGGAGGTCTCAGGGACACTGTGGAGAGAAGGCTCCCGGTACATGGCCACTGTGAAGGGGAGAGAGGAGCAGGGAAGGACAGTTAGGTACAGAGAGACCCAGGCAGAACCAGTGCTCTGAAGGAGTTCCCTTCCCATACATTTGCCCTCTAGGAACCCCAACCCAAAGGAAGAGAGCTCCCCAAACCCCAAAGGCCAAAGCTCTCCTGGCTTGACCTGTCACAACAGGTTCCTCTTAACACTTGTAGCCTCAGTTTTGTGTCCTTAAATGTCTATGTTAAGGTCAATACCCTCCCATGCAGCCCACATTCTCTTGACTCTATACCCACCCTCCAGTAGCTTGGGCACAAAGTGGGCGGCTGCCTTGGTCTTCTTGACTCGATTTCCCTTCATGACCTGTCCCTCCTTGTCCAGGCCCAGGTACCAGGCCCGGCCAGAACGGCGCTGGCGGTAGAGAGCAGAGGCATACAGGACATAGTAATTCTCAAAGACGCACTCCTTAAAGCGACATTCAGCTGTGAAATGTGGCTGAGAAGACAAAGACCCAGAAAAGCACACACAGACAGACAGAAAAACACATCACTGGGCAGAAGGGAGTCCTTGGAAAGAACAAGCCGGGATACACTGCATATATTTTGGGGGGGAGGGCAACACCTGAGTCCATGCAAGACCTGGGAGCAAAGGGAAGACAAGGAAGAGCTTGGAGGGCCCCTAAAGGTTAAGAACTAGATGACTGGGGATCTTGGAATACGATTTCTTCATTCTCTTCCCAACCTCTCACCATCTCTCTGCTGAATAACTAGGGAAGTGAGTATTAATGAACTCTGGAGGACTTGAGATGGGAAGCAGGAGCCCTAAAAAGCACAAAGAGATGGACATAAAGAGCCTGGTGGTATATATGAGGAGTAGGGACGGCAGGAACCCTAGAGGAGGTGCTCTGGAGTAGGCAGTGATGACAGCACATCAGCAAAAGCTGGAGGGAGAGGGAGGTCCAACCTGCAAAATGTCTGTACTCAGGAGAAAGGTTGTCCTTTCCTCAAGGGACAAGTTGAGGAAAGAGAGTCCCTAGTATTCCAGGCTCTTCAGCCACATTGTCTCACCGAGCTGTAGAGAAGTCCCTCGGCGTTCATGGCCATGTAGTGACCCAGCCTGGCACTCTGGATGGTGACCACACGAAGCCCCACAGGGATCAGGTTGAAGTGGGCTGGGGGTGGAGAGAGGGAGCATCAGTACCCAGGCCTCTAACCCCATTTGAACTCCCCCCATCCCAGTTCCACTTCTTCCCTTGTGGGTCAGGAAGACACACTGATGGCAGCTGAAACTGAAGAGGGAATAGAATTGTCTCCCTTCTCCCCACCCCCCACCACCATTCTCTCTTCCCACCCTGCAGGTGGCTTCCCCTCTCACTGAAGGAGCTGGTGTCCTCTGGGGTGCCCTGGATGCTCCCATCAGGATTCGCCTGGAGGTAGAAACCCTGGCGGCAGAACAGTTTGGTGACGATGCCTTTGAGCTGAGGCTCTGGAGAGAGAGACATTCATCTTTGAAAATGACATCTCTGTTCCCATAAACATTCCTACACTTGGCGGGATCGGAGAAGAGAATGAATAGAAGGGTCCCAGCTCTCTTACCCTCCAAGCAAGTTCTCTCCCACTTCTCTTTGACTCCTGGGGAAGCTTGGATGTGGGACCCTTCTATTTTCCTCTTACCAAGAGCTTTCAGTTTAACTTATTGAAATTTATTTAAATGGCTTAATTCCTACCCTACAGCTCAACCAGAAGAGGGGAGGGAAGAGGGAGGTACAGATACATCTAAAAGTAAAGGACAGAGGGAGACTGGCAGGTCTACTGAGGAGCAGTGCTTATGAATTGTGGGGGCAGGGAGGTTGTGGCGGCAAGCTGACCACAGAGTAGGGGCTCTTCCTCAGGAGTGGGGGTGGGACTGGGCCTGACGCTGACTCAGCACCTGCTGCTGCTGCTTCTGCGGCTGCCGCTAGCTTGGCGAGAGCCTTGCTTTGGCCCAGCGCCGGCCTGTCTGACACTGACCCATCTGTCTGTCTGTCTGTCTGTCAGTCTGCTGGCTCGCGGGGGCCCAGTTCCCCCAGAGGCTCACCCTCTCTCCTTCAGTCAGGTAACCCGCTTGAGGTGGGGGACATTCGGTGCCTTATCAAGGATATGGGGGAGGGGGCTGAGGAGGTGGAGAGGCAGGCTGAGTCACGTGGGGGCCCAGTCTCACTCGGAGGGTGGGCTGCGGACCGTACCACTACG